GTCATCAGGGCAATTCTGACTTATGTTGATCCTTCCTAGGGTTTTCCAGGTAGAGAATGCTCATGTTTACCATTGCTTTTCTCTGGTGCAGCTTGCCCAAGGATACACAGTCTGACTTCTCTCCCTGGAGGCACAATGAGGAATCAAACTCACAACCTTTGGCGCTGCAACAAGATACCACTGAGCTATCCAGCTTCTACAGCAATTGCTTTGAGTATTTCCTTGCACACTGTAACTGTTGCTTTTGCATCCGACCGACGCACCTGTGTGCTGATCTCAGGTCGCAAGCGTTTGACTTTGGCAAAAATCCTGTTGCGTAGCTATGCTAGTGAGACACAAACTGTAACCTTTGGAAGCAAAGTGCTTCAAGTTAACAAATCAACATGGACGTTATCTATCACATTCTGAGTTGCAGGATATTGTCCAAGGTAATTTGTTAACTTGAGGCAATTTGTCATGTCGTTAGGATTGCGCAATGCATCTCAACACAATTTTAGTTATCTTTCGCATGGAAGCGGAAAGGTGATGAAATCACCAGAGGCTTTCTGATTGTATCAGATGGTGGGTTCGTAGCGATGTAAACACAAGACATTCTTCCTTAGTTTCAGCAACAGGAAGTTAATGCAGAACAAAGTGTGTCCTTACATTACCAAAAATGGCAAAGAGTCTAGATAAAAACAGACAAAAAGTTATAGTATTAAGACACAATAACTGAAATCCAGGTCTAAGTTTCCACTGGAGAAGGCCCATTGAATCACTGAGGATTTGGTGAGTCAACGCTGCTGTAAATTCCACTAATTCACAACGGATTCCAGTTGTGATTTACTACTGGATTTCAGCTACTTAAACAAATTAAAATATTGTGAAGAACAGTTTCTCAGATGCTTTCACTACTGTTGCAAGCAGAGAAGTTGCTTTATAGTGGAACGAACCACAGCTCCATCTGCCTCTGTAACATCTCTGTTCCACGTAGCATCTTGGAGGACAGTTCTCCTGCTCCCAGATTCTTTTAATGAACACATCATCGA